GTAGTGCTGTATGACGAATACAATGAAAACTGTATGTCCATGTAGCCATTACAGGTGATTTGCTAAAGGAGCTGCAGGTTGGCTATTTAGCAGTCTTATTGCCTGGAGGTAGAAGCTGTTCTGTAGTCTGTTGGACTTGGACCGAATGCTTCAGTACCGTTTACCAGACGGTAGGAGGGAAAACAGTTTGTGACTGGGATGACTGGAGTCCTTGAGAATGGACCTGGCCTTCTTAAGACATCTAGCTGAGCAGATATCCTGGATTTTTGGTAGCTCACAGCCGGTAATGAGCTGCGCTGACTTCACCACCCTCTGCAGTACTTTGTGATACCGGGCGGAGCAGCTCCCATACCAGGCAGTGATGCAGCCAGTCAGGATGCTCTCAATAGTGCACCTGTAGAAGTTGGCCTGGATATGTGGATATCTGGAAAGGCCTGGATATGGCCTTTAAAATCCTCATGCTCACTTATAAGGCTCTGCATGGCTTGGCACCTCAGTACCTGTCTGAACTATTATTGCCCTACTCCCCACCTCGCAACCTTCGCTCTTCTAATTCTGCTCTCCTTACTGTCCCCCAAGCCCGTCTACATTGTATGGGTGACAGGGCCTTCTCCTGTTATGCCCCCAAGCTCTGGAACTCTCTGCCCAAGGATATCAGAGAGTCACCTTCTCTAAACTCCTTCAAATCCAGATTCAAAACCTCTTCTTAAGAAGAGCCTTTACTGAACTGGTTCCATTCTTCACCCCTCTGCTTTTCTTAGTACCACCATCCACAGTCTCCTCTGTATATTGTAATTGTGTTTTTATTTTGTGCATTCTTTTTATTTATTGTTGTTGTCGTTCTGTAAAGCGCTTTTAGAAGCCACCTTTTAAGGCGCTATATAAAACAAAGTTTATTATTTTTATTATCTTACAATTTTGTGTGATTCATGCCTTTGCTAGCGTTTTAAGCAGTACACAAGCTTCTGAGTGTTCAGTTCACTGACTACAGGAGGGACAAAGAACTTAATGTGTGAAAACACCTGTTCACAGAGGTATGTTGAGCCCAATCAGTGGTTTGAAATGTCTGTATTGTCCACGCAAAGTTACTGATGTCTGAAATACTGTGCCTCAAAAATAGGCATTTAAGTGATATATTGAAAATTGTGAAAAAAATCACAAATCACCCTCAACAAAATAAAAAAAGTTCAACATCTCTAGATAGCTTTAAGATGCCACTGAAGTTCCCAAAAATAAAAACTGATCAAATATTTAACTTTACTGTGTTTCATTTCAACAACCATCCACTGAAGAACTGAAAAAACCCATGTCTCTGGTATCAAAGCTGTCTGGTTTAATCAGAAAAGAAAATATAGAGCCAAAACATCAGAAATCCTGAAATCTGAAAAAAATACAACCCATTTTCCGTGCACAATCCACGCCAGAACTTAAGTGTGGCACAGATTGCAAGCTTTCTTGTGAAAACAACAGGCAAGCCTTTTTAGCTTAGCAAAGGACCTACCACAGAGCCTGCCTGCCCAGCACTGGAGATGCCCTTTAGATGATAGTACAGTTTAAGCTGTATTTACTCAAGTTTCTCTAGCTTGCTTAGTCTATGGAGCCGTAAGCCTCCTCCTCTTATGTAAGCCAGATATAAGTGAGAACTCTCCCCTGGGTCGCTCACTCACTCCTTTCGTTCAGACTGGAGTCTAGACACACACTGAATCCCCTTTCCACCTGGCTGGGCTTATAAACCTCTCAATTAGCCCAGAGGAGTGACCAGTTCCTCAAAGAAATTATCCCAAAAGCTCTTGAGGAAATAGACTCCCTCTGAGTGCTAATTATTAATTTAGATGTTATTTTGCAGGTTTTTTCAACCATTGTGGCTCAGGGCCACATCACTGGGCCTGTGTTTTGAGCCATGATAGTGGCTTTCTCACAAAGCCACCTGTCACTGCTTCAGACTCTGACACTGTAGCACTCAAATGTACTGTATTCTATACACAGTAAATGTAACATAAAATCTTTCTGTAAAAACAAAAATATTGTTCCTAGATGTAAGAGATATGACACAACACTTGCTTCTGATTGAATAGTTTCTGCATTTGTGTACAAACCAACAGGAGCAACAGCATTAATCAAAACCAGATCCCCTGCTATAATAATACGGCCAAAGTATTAGCAATTACTTTAAGTTTTCTATAAGTATGAGAAATATCAGTGCATAATGTATTGTAAAAATGTTACCGAATCAAGGTTTTTAACAAGTAGGGAAATACAAATTATACTAATATTGAAATGCAAATATAATTAAGCTTATCACAAGGCCTTTTCTTTAAAAAATATGTGAATGATCTTGCTTGTCTCTGTGTGAAACTAAGATTGAAGTTGGCAAGATGGAATTGAAACTAAGACTGAAGTTGGAAGTCCTATCAATTTTAGTAAGCTTGATCAGGTTTCAGGTGCATTTAGAAGACTTCTCCCAGCTGAAGAAAGATATAAGATATGAAAAAGGGGTTAATTGATTTCTTTCTGCACAAAGACTTCTTGTAACACAAGACATTCCATGTTTAGGCACCTTTGAGTTATGGCAGGGATGGGAGTTAATTGATGTGAAATTCCAAGTGCAAGATAAAGACCCCCCTAACTAAGGAAAGATAAAACTGATTAAAGTGTTCAAGGTCTTGGGAATGTCCAAACACAGGTGGCCCCCCATTACCATGGTAACAAGTTGCATCAGAAGTGGCTGAAATTTGCTATATAAACTGGAAGTTTTGTACCTGTATTCCGAACAATATGTTGATCTTATTGTTCTTTGCATGCAATAAACTCAATTGTTTAAACTTCATCTCGGGTTCTAGTACTTATTTGTCTGTTACTACACAGCCAAGACAATCTTTGGAAACAGTTTTTAATGTTTCAAGCCTGCTTGATAAACACAGCATATCCCACTGGAAGCAAAGGAAAATAGCAGGTCAAAGCTCATGACACTGGGCTTTGCTGGAGACATGTTTACATTAATGTAAGACTGAACAATTACAGCCACAAACCACAGCACGACACGCATTAGCAGTGTCTGGTTCTCCCAGTCTGTATCTTGTTCTAATTGCATTTGTTCCACTTTAAAGGCAGGGTCACCTTGAAGTGTCTTTTAGAGCTGAGCCATTGTGATACTTCATGAGAGGGTCCCATGACGACCAAGAGGCACTGCTGGACTAATCAATTTAACTGATAGAAACAGATGCCCAGTAATGTGCTGTGCAGAAAAATCCTATATTGAAACTGAAGGCATTGTAATTTAACTACAGTGATGGCAGGATGAAAAAATTCAAAAGAACATGCAATTATAAAACTGTCCACATACAGCAAGACAAAACATAAGAAACAAACATAAAGCACACAAAAAAGAAAAACACGGGGTAACAAACTCCATTACGTTAGTTAAAAATTGAATTTTTGGAATTTATTAGTAAAAAAAAATACTCTGACTTTGTATGTTAGGAAACATCCACAGAACCAGATACACAATACAAACACAACGTGCGTAATAAAGGTCAGAAATGTATTAAATGTAAAAACTAAATGTATGAAAAAGAAATGTAACAATAACATGGGAGAGGAGATAATGCTTAAGAGAAAAACACTATAAAAAGCCAGACATGCAGTATAGTTTTTTATAATTTTCTGACAGCATTCTCCACGAGAAGTCACTGAGCTCGAATGGCATCATGGTGATAGTTCGTGTCACTCAGTGGGCTGGGATGGTAAACAAGGTTGTTCATAAATACACTCATTTTATATATATATACATATATATATACACTTCTTTAGCCACAATTATTTATTATGTACCAGGGAACAATGCGGACAGAAGTAACTAGAAATGTTTTTAGGACTATTTTAGTAAAGTAATCTATGTAGATATTTTTACAGAACCTTTCCTTTCCTAGTTGCCCTGATCTTCTGTGAGGTTATGGCCATGAGCTGTGGCAGGAGCAGCTGTTTCAGCAATGCTGAGTATTGCAATGAGCTACTGTACTATATGTGTATGTGTGTCTGATACAAGAGACTGCTCAGCTATACACATGAAGGGAAAAGAGTTCTGATGCTCCCATTGCCTCCCAGATGAGAACTGAAAAAGGCACTCATAGCCCACACTGTCCTAAAATCTTTAAGGAGACTACAACCCATGTGGACAAATACCTACATTTTTTAGATGGGTACTCACCATTTATATTTTTCCTAACACCATATTTTCTTATTAACAAAAATGTTTCATGTTATTTCTGTGCACAGTATCCCAAATACATTTAGCTGATGCCGCAGGTGTTTTGATATAGTAGATCAGAGAAGACTATGCTCCCATGGGCTAAGTAAAACAAAGAAAACAAAACCAAAAACAAACAACAAAAACACCATGCAGACATTTAGCTTGTGACTTTCCCACTAATGGAACAACATGTGTCTTTTTGCATTCCAATGCCATTTGGTCAACCTAATACCTTTATATAGGAGTTCAGACAAACTGAAACTTCATACATGTTTAATTGAGAATGATAGAACAAAACAGCAATATCCCCTTTTCCAATTTTATATCTATCCTGGGATGTGCATAAAACTATTATCCCACAAGGAACTGACAGGCAAGACAAAAACATCTTGCCTTCCAAACAAGAGCATTGAAGCGCACATCTCTATTAAAGTTAATTGCTTTTTTTAACTACCAGGCTCAGGAGGCAGGGAAATTAATTTATTACCGAAGCTGGAAATGACTTAGAGACAGCTGTATAACAAGGGGAACTGGAAATGTTAAAATCAACCTTACTTTACAAAGGGCTAAAAAAAGGGATACTGTGATTTTCACTTCAGCAGAACAGTACTTATAAAGCTTACACTGTTTTGTGTCACAGCGTAGACACGTCCACTCCAGAAAGAATTTAAAATAGGGTAAGGCTGGATGTTCTCATGTCTTTATTTCACGTTTACTCTGGTGCTAGTCTTTATGACGAGGTGTGGCTCACCTCAGAACTTTCTTGGGCTCTTTCGGAGGTGTTGGTTGGGGCAGAGGTTTGCTACTGTTGAACTCAAGGTCGTGAATAGGGGAGTTGGGGATTGGCTCTAGGCGGGCAGGCTGGGCACACCCGTTTCCCGTCCCTGCTGGTTCCAGCGCACTTAGATTGGGAGCACTGATGAATCTGTTTGCTGATTTGTCATTCTTTTTCTTTTGCTACATAAAAGAAAAAAAAGACGGATTGGGAAAACTAAGAAAATTAACTTGTCATTTCAAACCATATCTGAAAACGGGTCTTTTTTTACAATTGAAGTGGTATTGCTCCTCAAAGTGTAAAACTTACATTAACGGCAATCTTTCATTTTGATTTAGCAGAAAATAGCTAAATAGGATGCTTGGTGGCTTGGAAAGCAAAGTAGATTTTAATGTCTGGATAGATCAACAAAAAAAAGACAACAGAGGTTACACTGGACAAAATGTCTGGAAGCTCAGGTTACAAAACTTAAAAAAGGGATAAACATAACACCTTGGACATGCAAAGGGACTCATTCCACTTTCTCAAGGTTGCGTCATTTACATTATAACAGTACACAAAACAATCCCCCCATGGTGCATTGAGGTTCCTGGAAATCCCCAGATGTGCAGGATGTGCTCCAGAACTCTAGTAAATGGCTTCCTTAGAAAGGAATTCCCTTTGAGTGCTTCTCTCAAGCTCAATGATCTGTCATCTTAACTTGCTTAAACTGGCAGCTGGATCAGGTCTGACCCCTGCATTCAGAAAGCCCCTTGCTTGTAGTTGAGTCAAATCAGTCTCAGCTTCTAGAGGCAGATTGTCTTTGAAAGAAAATCAATACTCCTGAGATCTTTGTGTGTAACACACCCATTTCTAAATGGAATTTTAAGACAGGAATATCATTGTTTTTTAAGAAATTAGCATATAGTTTATTTCAAATCTGATTCAAACAATTCAGATTTGACAAGTTTCAATTAGTTAAGAAAGACTGCAATATCCTTAAGTGTGATTAATCATTACTTACCTTTATGAGGGGGTTGATAACACCAACATTGGGGCTTGTATTAAATACTTTGTTAAAATTAGTCTCTCTGTTCACCAGTTCCAGCTGATAAAACTTCTTGTCATCCTGTCCACAACAAAAGATAAAACACAGTTCAATTCATGAACTACAAGCAGTGATTATAATTCCATAAATGAAAAAGCAGACATGTACACACAACATGTAATTAAGATCAGCAGTAAAGTGTAACAGGGCCTTCTTTAATGCAGTTTTGGGCCAGTCCACTGACGAAATAGCTCAGACAGAAGCTGGCACAGCCTTTCCAACCCTTCTCTCACAAGGCTATAAGTGCTTTAGAAATACTGTCCAAAGCATTGAGGGCTTTTACGTTGTGCAGTAACAGGAGCTGCTGTATCTTTGCCGTATAGTTGCAAATACCAGTATGAAAGATTATTAGTGAATTTCTATTCTCTGAAATTGTGCATTTAAGCAAGCCTTCTAAGGGGACTAAAAATGGGGTTCTCTATTTCCATTAGACAATTTGTATTAGCAAAACTAAAGATTTCTAAAGGACTGGAAATTAGTGCAACAAAGAAATGCATGTGGTTATTAAAACAGACAGTGTTTAAAACTATTTTGTCAGGACTGTGTAATAGATCCTTTGTTGCTTCATCGTCTAGCTTCAGGATAAGTTCACCCCAGAGACTATCATGACAGACAATAAAGAAGATGGAAATCACCCTGTGCCACAGGAGACTCGAATACTGACAAGAAATGAACAGGCTTGTTTGAATCTAAATCAGGTAACATTTACAGTGCACAGTACATTACCTCACAAAACCAAAAAGAATGTTACAATATGTTTTTTATTTAAATATATGAAATCCTGAAGCTGTGCATGTACCAATCATGTCCCTCAAACTGTAATTCATACTATACTGAATATGTTTTTCAAGTAAACTGAAAAACTTTTTAAAATCCTATCCACTTTCTTAAATCCAAGCCCCAGAAGATTTTTTTTTCATTACAAGTAGAATGGCCGGTTCCCGTTCTACTACTTGGCTGTGCTAATGTCTGCAGTCCTTGCGGTAGCACAGGGTGAAAGAGAATCGCTCTTCTGTCACTCCTGCTGCTGAGTTGTTGGCTACTTGAGATTCTGTGGCTCCTCAGTAAAGTACACATGAGCTGTGTCTGGTTGCCTTTCACTGTCCTCCCTGCAAGATCAGGGGCCACGCCTGTCGACAACAATCACTGAAGCCCACCTGACCGAGGTTCTCCGGTGCCGCCTGCGCAGTGCCCCATGGGTAATCCCAGTCACAGAGACTCAGATACCTTACTTACTGGCAAAATTCATTTATGAATGTCATTTATACCATTTATGAATGTTCAGCATGGAATAAACCTTTACTTAATTTATGTCAGTAGACATTGGCGTGATCTGAAAATAATCTGGGAATGCAATACTACTTAAATATGCGACATGACATGAAATGTGGAATGTTACATGCCATTAACAAAGATATTTTGCTTTTTAGTTTGGATCATATCAGTGAGGCAAGAATATGTATTCATATTCAATTATTTTTAGGAGAAATGTGAGAACATGAGACATTATATTCCCTGAATGAGCACAAGGGGAGTTAGGAGTGTTTACAGATAATGAAATGTGATCTCCCAAGCAGGCACTGCGCAGTATCAATAAGAGGAATTATGGATCGGGGCTTCTGGATACCTCAGGTGAAGCAGTCTTTCTGTCCTGCGCCTTTCAGAATTCGACAGAAAGCAAGACTTACAACAAGCTTCTTCACAAGCGACTCCCTCTCAGACACCATTTCCTTCAACTCTGCAATTAACTGCAAATCCTCTGGCCTGCTCTCTCGGTTCCTAAATTTCTCCTCTGTGCCTTCTAACCTGAAAAGGTAGAACAAAAAAAAAGTTGTCAAGCATTCAGTAATATCTGTGCAATGCAACAATATGTCTCAATTCAATATCCTAGCACATTAATCGATTGCTGCAAGGTGTTGTCAAGGTGTTGTGTTGTTTAGTGAACAATTTTCCTCCGTTTACCTGCACTGAAAATATAATGACCTAAAGATTAATCATTTAGATTCTACAAAAAAGTACACACTACTGGAAGCCTGTGTACTGCACATATTCAAGTGGCTGTTTTAAAGACTCAGAAGTTAATGAAAAAAAAATAAAATGACCACACTGTATAAACAGACTTAATAGTATATTTCAATGAGCATCTTTGGTCCTGAAGGACCATTTGTGAAAGATAAAGCCGTTTCCAATAACTCTGTTAGAGGCTAGGCTTAGTGCAGCTCTTTTCCCTTGTGGAGAAAGACACAGTAACTAGGCACTGGGCAATTCACAAGCTCAATGATGAACAGTGGGCTGTCTAGATTCAGTATAACTACTCATTTATGTCAATCTGAAAGCAGTGTTTAGTCCAAATTGGTAGGACTACAAATGCCAGTTGTCACTATAATTCAGTAATAGTAAAAATAGGTGTACTTTGGTGCCAGTTTGATTTGTGACTATTTGAATTTTATGTTGCCATTAGGTTCTCACAGGGGCTATACTCTGTAAAGTAACACAGGAAAACAATTAAGACAATTAAGACAAAAATGCAAATTATTTAAAAATAGCATGCCATATAATGGCAGACAATAACCAATTTTCATTCAGGACAAATAATAAAAAATACTGCCTAAAAGGATGAATGGCTGAATGGAGGGGTGGGTCAGATGAGTCTGTGTACTGTACATCTACTCATTCTTTGCTATGATACAAGACTGAAATTAACTCCAAATCAGGTGGTGTATAATAAAAATAAATAGTACAAATATGTTCAATTACTAAGCAACTGAAAGCTGTAAGACTTGCATTGTATCTAAGAAGCAAATGTCTTAAATGTCATCAATGCTGCTGGGCATTAAATCATGCACAGTAAACATAATGAGCTTTATGTATTTCAAAACAATATTGCTAAAAACAGAAAGTCGTCATCAGTGCTGGAAAACAAACTAACCTTAAAACTACGGCCTTGTGAAACAAAAAACATTTTTTTCAAACACAGCAAACTAGTGGAAAGACGTCAATTAGGTATAATGTCAGCATTTGGGGAAATATAACCCTCAGCATATTTAATGAAAAAACAAATTTCAAAGGTAAGTTAATGAAGGATAAAAATAATCACAGAGTGTTCTATTAGAACTATGTTTCACTTCAGATTTTAATTGCCTTGTGCTGTATTCCCTCTTCTATTACACTGGCAAGCAAAACGTCTTACTTACAGTAATTGAAAACAATTTTTACTTTCCAATTAATAGCAACCTAGACACAACAATTTTACTTTCCATTTAATAGTAACCTAAACCCTCTCAAGGCTGCACTATATTTGTGTGGAATTTATCCTTCCCTGATCCACCACTATCTTAAGTGAAAGCTATGGGATATGAACAGAATGTTACAAAAATATAAAACCAAGATCCTTTTGGCATTTACAAAGGTGTAATTGAGAATTGAGTGGATTTCATTAAATCCGTGCGTCAGAGCATCGCTATTTTTATCACAAGCTGTGCAGTAGCTTGTACAGTGCCTAGATGGTGCTCTCATTCAAGTGAAGGGAAAATAGGTCACTCCTTCAGAAATTCATTCCCAGTGCTCCAGATGTAGCCTCATCATCTGTTCAATTTGCTTTGTTTTCGTGAAACTAATATAAATGCATATTTTCATTTGGTCAATGAGTTTTCGATGTAATTATATGTGGGATTAAAACAAATTCACCCCTGTTATCTATAAATAATTAGTCTCATATTTAATATATGTGCCTAAAACAATTCTAGATTTGCTTTCTGTCTTACGCATGTAATAGCACAAGAGAATAAAAGAGTGACTTGTTTTCCTATAGACACAGAGACCCTACAGTTTTCAGCTGTAGGGTAAAAACAATATATATCAATATGTTTCAGTTTGTCACAGTAACAAGACTTAAAATTCCTCATCTCCCACCAAGCTCTGATGAATGACGGTATCAACACCAGGCCTTTCAAACAGTATCAATAAAACAATCCGCTGGCTTTTGATCAGCAGAGGCAGTGCAATCTGCAGGAACAGAGGCAGTGCAATCTGCAGGCACAGAGGCAGAGCAAACTGCAGGAACAGAGGAGGTGCAATCTGCAGGAACAGAGGCAGTGCAAACTGCAGGAACAGAGGCAGTGCAAACTGCAGGAACAGAGGAGGTGCAATCTGCAGGAACAGAGGAAGTGCAAACCGCTCTGAAAGAAGGACAGACAAGCCTGGGTGTAAAGGGGGGTCCAGGATGACAACACCTGAGGCACAGTCTCCTGCCGTGGGAATCTAGAGCTTCTCCACAGTTCTCTTTTCCTTCAGAGCTGCTCTCTGTGTGTCTCCACATTTTTTCCATGTTGTGTGCCCTGCAGCCTGCTGCCTTTTGGTTACGTAATTACACATTCACACTGCCCCACACACGTGCACTAGCATGAGACACGGGGAAACAACATACAGGATCTGTAAGGCGGAGATCTTGTCCTTCAAGAGCTCTTGAGCCTTGTTGAAATCTGACAGCATGTTCTGTGTCTCACGCATGTGAACCATTGACATCTCGCTCAGGTCCTTCTCGTGTTTCTTGGTCAGTTCCTGTTCATGAACCCTGTTAAAAGAACACTCAGTTAAATTGCTACACAGATACACTGTACAACCCTGGAGTATCTGAACTACAGCTAGTTACAATAAATACAGCATATACTGTATAACAGCCATGGGTACCTCAGCTGAAATGTGATGTCTTTCATGAAATATTCAGTACATTTTTATTCTTCCCTTTTTTGTTACTGTATTCCCATGAAGTACATTCATAATTTATATGTCAGTTGCTGAGGAAGGATATCAATCCATTTTATAAGTAAAAACACTTTAATCTATTTATTTATTGATTTGTTTTTTTACAGTGAATTTGCTCTTCTTTGTGCACTATGGGTCTGTCACCTTTTATCTCATGTAAACCACTCACAAACCTCTCACTACTTCCAAATATATGGAGCAAACATGGCCAACAGCAGATACCTTACCTTAATTGTATAAGATTTGGTGATAGTACTTTAATTTGACCCTTGCAATGATTTTTTAATGAAAGTGTTTCTTGTATATCATTGTAGAATAAAATATTGCATAATTGTTGCATATAAAGAGAAATGCATGTTTAATGGTAACAGAATATTGTATGCAATCTTATTTGCATAAATACTCAATTATTTGTTCAACTATCTCTCACAAAGTTCACCTTCTGATATTCAAATCTCTACATATATTATTAATTAAAGCAAAATGATTGAAACATCAATGCATCGATGCAAGATTCATGGGGAAAATATAAGATATCAAGTGTATGTCTGGTTATATAACAGAATCCTGTCTTCTGTTTTTTTTTTTAAATAAACTGAATTCACTCTCTTTCTCTGAAGACATAATATAAATATGTCATGGATTACTCATATTTTCATAGGCTGGCTAGTTCCCAGTTGCCAAGCTGCCTGAATCCTTTCCTATCATGAATAAGTATATGCAGTATACCCTGGACGCTGAGTGTGAAAAGTACAGTGCAGTGTGTATCATCTGCAGGACAGAAACACACAGCTGACATCATCAAGTCCTGCAAGTGCTCGGGAAGTGTCAGGTCACTCTGAAAGGCAGGTCAATGGTTCTCCTACTGTCTTCATTGCACAAACACTGGGACAGTCCTGCCCTGCTTCTAGCAGCTCTTACCAGAGTCAGCAAGAGACAAAACTGGCATTTGAACAAGTGCCTTCCAAGCTACAGGACTCATTTGACCTTGTTTACCTCACAAGCCGCTTAGGAGTTCTGTTCCCCCTGTGTATGTTTTTCATTTTTTTTAAATACTAAATTATAAAAAATCTTAAAATAAAGTCTCAGGATTAAGATGATATGCTTTGATAAAAAAACACTCAATTATTAAATATAAGCATAAAATGACCACCCAAAATGAATGAAACAAACCTTTGAAAGATGGAAATCAAACTGCTGAAAAAGTTCTCTCTGAATTACAGTACATAATATTTTCTGTTAACATTTTACTTTGAAACTTCAAGGGTGGTGCTGTGTGTTTTCCCTCAGACAAGGAGAGCACTACAGATGTAATCCAGTTAGCCACGGAGCTGTTCTGCTGATCTGGTGATCACCTGATCTGCTGGTTGGCTTCGCTGCGGATCTTGAGCACCTCCCTGCCCTTGAGCTCCAGCTCCTTGGTGAGCGTGCTGATGTTCTCGTGCAGAGCTTGGATCTCCTTGTCCAGCTCGGCGATGTGGTGCTCCCTGCGGCGCACTTCCTCCTGCAGCTCCGCAATTCGCCCCAGCAGCTCCTTCTCCTGCCAAGCAGACAGGCACACAGCAACGACAGGTCAGAGCACTTCGTGCCTCAACACTCGCTGCACTCTAACAAGGGAGTAATGGGAGCCAGATGGTGCTCATCTCCTGCTTAAATGCTGTTTTTGAATATTGTTTATACAGCAACAATATTAAGAAATAAGTGACTGTTGGTTTATTGACTGTTTAGATTTATTTTAGCAAAGACAAACACTTGCAACAAACCGTTCATATAAGGTGTTTTACTAAACTAGGTGGCACAGTGGCATAGAATTTCTAACCCTAACGCAGCCATTCATGTTCCAAGAGCTTCTTCCAATTCATGATGCCAAGGGAGTCAGAGCCTGTCCATCACAGGGCACACATACAGACACACACACACACACACACACACACACACACACACACACACACACACACACACAAACACGGACACACACACACAGACATAAAGCAACCAACACAAATACAAACACACAGACACCAACATGGACACAAACACGGACACACACACTCACACAGACACCAACACGGACACTAATACACAAAGACAGACACACACAGACATACACAGTCACATGGACATAAACACTCACACAGACACTAACACACAAACACCGACACACACAGACATACACACTCACATGGACATAAACACTCACACAGACACAAACACTCACACAGACACCAATACAGAGACAAACACGGACACACTCACACCACAGCCAGTTTTCCTAGAACCCAGCATGTCCTGCTGGACTGTGGGAGGAAACTGGAGCACCTGGAGGAAACCCATGCAGATATGGGGAGAGCACACTAACTCCACACAGACACAGACACAGACACAGACACAAACTCCACACAAACTCCACACACACACTCACACGGACACCAACACAGACACAAAGATGGACACACACAGACACACACACTCACACAGACACAAACATGGACACGCACAGACACACACACTCACACAGACACAACGATGGACACACACAGACACACACACTCACACAGATACAAACATGGACACACACACTCACACAGACACAAACATGGACACACACAGACACACACTCACACAGACACACACATGGACACACACACTCACACAGATACAAACATGGACACACACAGACACACACACTCACACAGACAGCATCCTGGGAGCTGAACCCAGAGCTGGAGCCCTGAGAGGCAGCAAAGCTGACCGCGGCACCACCACACCACCTTGATTAACAATCCACAGGTATTGTAGCTTACAATTCTATTCCAGCCACTTCAAATACTGACTAACTTCTTGTCTAAAACATCCTGATATATTTTTATTGTTTAATCTATCTCAATAGTGACTCATTTACATCAGCAAATCAGTGATATTGAAGGGGAAAAGTAAATAAAAGAACAACTAAAATTGGTAAATGATAATCTGCTTTTTCTTAGACTAGAATGGATACAAAAAGATCACCTTTCTAAACATGGCTGATTGCCTCTGATCTGTAAAGGCTGGTTCATGCCACCTCTTTTCATGAGAATTATCTTCTGCAATACATGGTTGAATGTAAGATTCTCTTTCCATGGTTTTCTGCACACGGCACTGTCATTTGTGATGAATGTTCCTGGCACATCGAAAGACCCTGAAATATACTCTACAGTATTTTCACATGGCACGTAAGTGCAGAGGGTGCTTGCTTCTTATTACTTTACCTAATTGCTTCCCCCAGAAAGGACCTCTGAAGGCTGACACCAGCTCCACAGTTAGATCCTCCCACGTCAGAAAATGACATGCAGGAGGCAAATCTGTATTTCCTCCAGGCTTCAGTAAATCCTATTCTAAGCTGATGGTACTTATATTGAAATTGAAATGATATCATAGCTAAAATAAAAAATAGCAGCTGCACTTCCAGTCTGACAGGATTCACTGTCTGGAACCAAATCAGCATACCTACAGTCTTTGGGACTCCAGAAACACAGCAGTAACATCATGACATCCAGCCAGCAAGTGTCCTACCCCTCACCTGTTTTCACATGCACCCAAGAGCACTCCAGGCTGTGCCCCTGAAGCAGCCTTCCCGGGATGAGCAACAAGGTCCTATCAGTTTCACTTATGAAAACCCATTGTCACAAATTTTAGATAAGAAAATACAGAGACTACTCTGTTTGACAAAGAAAGGTCTTCTGTATTGCATCTCCATCGATAGAGTGATGTATTTTTTTTATCTTGGCTTCAGCAGACATATAGCATGTAAATGCATTCTGTAGCTTACAGTACAGTTGTAAGTAAATCATGCATAACCTATTTCTGAAAGCATTCATCACTCAAGCAGAAACAGGAGGTTTAAAAAATCTTCTTTCTGGAAGTCCCATTTTAACAACACTGCTGTGCCTGCGGAAACTGTACATGGCATGGTTACATTAGCGTTTCTTGTGTGGAACAACTCTTTTAAATATCAAAGGCACATTATTGAAATTGTTCCTTAACCTTTAGATTACTGACTTTATTCTAGCTAGCAAAACCACCTGGATGGTAAATTTTAGATTTTTAAATATTTTTTGTCTTTTAAGAAGTGAGCTTTTGCATTCATTATTAAATAACCTTAAATTCCAACACTCATATTTGAATTCGTTAACATTAACATATTGTAGGTTACTGCAGCTGACAGCAGTGCTGGCTATGTATTCTTAAAATGCTTCAACTTAAAATTCTGGCCCTATAATTATAACCTGGATAAAAATCAAATTAAATCTGCCCTTTTAAGATCTGTATTCTAAAGTACTACTTCTTACATACAGTATAAATAACATAATATATGTTTTCTTCAAAGAAAAGATAGAACAAGATATACATATATTAGCTACAGTATTTTGAAAATGTGAATTAGTATGATTTTTCACAATTAGTCACAATAAGTCTCTAAACACATTTATAATGTGGCTGTTCTTCCCTGAAGTACAATTAATTTATTTTGAACACATTGTCATGAATTCTCTTAAAATGTGATATTAGTTTCCTGCAAGTCTTGTGTTCAGACTGTCAAGTCAACTGTTTCATAATTCTTTGAATCCATGAAAAGTTATGAGCAAGACATTGATTTGGGACTGGGGCAAATTGCAGATGAGAGTAAGACTGAAACTAGTGCCGCCAGTCCAGTTCACATGCTTGAAGTTCATTCATTTATGATCACAGGTGAACTGTGACACAAAAGTCAAGTTTCATAAGTGTTTCCTGCTGGATAACCATAAGTTACAAGAAAGGGAAAGCTTTGTTGCTCGTCTGAAACACCCCTCAACCTTCCTTCAAGCAAGCCAGAGGCAAAGCTACAGACTTCAATATGTACACGTCAGGTTTTGCTCTCTTTTCATTTCTCTATAAAATTGCTTTTTGGGAAAAAAAAACAAGCCATTCTCACCTTCTGAGATTTTTAAAAGAAACTGTATGCAGCATTTTTCTCCTGCGCTGAAGAATTATTCCCAGGTCTTGTATTTCTTAAGCAACTAAAATGATCTATGATTCCAGGACACATATGCCTGAGGTGCTGAACAGACTTTCTGCCTGGATATAATATTTTGGGTCTCTGTAACATTAAACTTTCTTAGCCATCTCACTGCTCCCTCACTGCACCTTCACTTCTCCCCCACTGCACCTTCACTGCACCCTCACTGTTCCCTCGCTGCACCCTCACAGCACCTTCACTGC